TGTTGACTGACAAAGGGTCCTAATGTACAAGGTGTTTGTTGACTGACAAAGGGTCCTAATGTACAAGGTGTTTGTTGAATGACAAAGGGTCATAATGTAAAAGGTGTTTGTTGACTGGCAAAGGGTCATAATGTACAAGGTGTATGTTGACTGATAAAGGGTCATAATGTACACGGTGTTTGTTGACTGACAAATGGTCATAATGTACAAAGTGTTTGTTGACTGACAAAGGGTCCTAATGTACAAGGTGTATGTTGACTGACAAAGGGTCATATTGTACAAGGTGTTTGTCGACTGACAAAGGGTCATAATGTTCAAGGTGTTTGTGGACTGACAAATGGTCCCTATGTACAAAGTTCTTTGGCAGCAGCGGTCACACCACTGCTCGTTAGGCTGGGCAATCGTGTAGAACGTTTGTACTGTACAACTTTTGCCGTTAACAAAGGACATCGTTTTGCTGACCTAGACATTAAATACAGATGGGTATTTCTGAGTATTGAGTCTCTATTTGAACCATACGATCTTTTTGACTGTTAGGCATGCGGACAATCTGGAAAAACGAGCTTCCTAGCTCTCGAATATTAACCAATGTCAGATCAAGTGATATAAGGAAGGATACATTAAATGATAGAAGAAATATACTTGATGGTTTCGTTATCCCCTTTCCAAAAATGTTCTCCTGGCGAATGTTCATTATTTTCCAACACTGATATATCATACTCGTCGTTGAATATTCAACCAAAAATAATATACGCACATATGATAATTATTCCTTCAGTATTGCGAGGTACATTTGTAATATTGAGCTGTTGTTTCTATATCTCATTGTAGGCTCAGTTTATTGAGTTCTCACCATTGCGCATCACACCTGTACAATTACCACCGGAAGTGGTGTTTGTGATCACACACAGTTGTACTGAGATCCACAAGGGAGCGACGGCCTGCTTCAACATCCGTGTGGTTGAATGTCGCATTGCTGCACAGGTGTGTATTTGTGTTAAACGTGTGGGTACATGTTTACAGGCAATGGAATATATTTTTTTGGGTATTGATAAAACATTTTCAATGTTTGGGTTTTATTATTATTATTGAAGACATTAAGCTGTTTGGGGGGGGGGGGATATTTGAATTTTATAAGAAAAAATGCACGACGAATTTTGTATAGTGCTTCAGCTTATAACAGTTATTAACTAACAGGTAATCGCCAAGAAGAAGGGATTAGCATGGCGTCACGTTACTACCCTGCGGGATGTACAAGAAAAACTTGGTTTGGGTCTCCTGGACGCTTTAGCTGTTGCCAAGGAATTACTTCATCCAGACGCTTACACAAAGCATGAAGTGTGTCAGATGTTGGAGGTGACTGACGATGAGCTATCTAAAACCTCGTTAATAGCCTTTACAGAAACCGGTACGACATCAACACACAAGTACATGTGCATTTACTGTCATCATACATCCTTCTACTTGTACAATATCATTACTGTCAGAATGACCATACGACCAAGAATGTTGACATTTGGTCAGTAGCATATTTGAATAAAGGGTTATAGTGTTTGTTAAAATGAATGATCTTTACCTATATTCAAGGTCACATGCGTCAAATATGTTTTGAATATTTAAACAAATTCTTCTGAACAATCAAAAAGCCAAACATTTTGATTTTTGGCCAGTAACATGCTTTGGGGAGGGCTATCTGACTTATAGTGATAAATACTGATATTTTGCCTGCAGCTTTTAGTCCACTTTTAACTCTTTCACCACTGTAGACCATGATGGACTCATCCAGATCAATGCATGGTAGAGTCTACTAACGTTACATAGGGGTGAAAGGGTTAAGGTTACAAGTGTGAGATTAATACCAGGTGAGCGATGCACGCCCATTATGTCTCTTGTTATTCTTTATTACAGAGAACGTATTTCACCTGCACAACCGCGCGATACATGTGTATAGTGAAGCTGAGCGCGTGCACCAGTTCAGGCGTGTATGTGAAATTGAAGGCAATGACCCTGACAATCTACAGCAACTGGGCGAGTTGATGACGGCCAGTCACTGGAGTTGCCATCATTTGTTTGACTGTAGCAGTGAAGAACTCAACATTCTTGTCAAAACTTGCATGTACGTAGATGTAAATGACACCGTTACATGATTGTCTTTTACACAAAATAAATACGTATAAGATTTATAATTCTCATGTTTGTACATGTAGGTGATCGCTACAGAACATAGTTGTCGACACAAACATCTTTGCAGGGGTTAGTAACATATATTTATCATTCTCATCAACATTTCCATATATGTAGGGGTCTGCTAGATAACATGCTCTTCCATACAAACATGTACATGTTTAAATGTAAGTAGGGGTCTGCTAGATAACATTCTCTTCCATACAAACACGAATATGTTTAAATGTATCTAGGGGTCTGCTAGATAACATTCCCGTCCATACAAACACGTACATGTTTAAATGTATGTAGGGGTCTGCTAGATAACATTCTCTTCCATACAAACATGTACATGTTTAAATGTATGTAGGGGTCTGCTAGATAACATTCTCTTCCATACAAACATGTACATGTTTAAATGTATGTAGGGGTCTGCTAGATAACATTCTCTTCCATACAAACATGTACATGTTTAAATGTATGTAGGGGTCTGCTAGATAACATTCTCTTCCATACAAACATGTACATGTTTAAATGTATGTAGGGGTCTGCTAGATAACATTCTCTTCCATACAAACATGTACATGTTTAAATGTATGTAGGGGTCTGCTAGATAACATTCTCTTCCATACAAACATGTACATGTTTAAATGTATGTAGGGGTCTGCTAGATAACATTCTCTTCCATACAAACATGTACATGTTTAAATGTATGTAGGGGTCTGCTAGATAACATTCTCTTCCATACAAACATGTACATGTTTAAATGTATGTAGGGGTCTGCTAGATAACATTCTCTTCCATACAAACATGTACATGTTTAAATGTATGTAGGGGTCTGCTAGATAACATTCTCTTCCATACAAACATGTACATGTTTAAATGTATGTAGGGGTCTGCTAGATAACATTCTCTTCCATACAAACATGTACATGTTTAAATGTATGTAGGGGTCTGCTAGATAACATTCTCTTCCATACAAACATGTACATGTTTAAATGTATGTAGGGGTCTGCTAGATAACATTCTCTTCCATACAAACATGTACATGTTTAAATGTATGTAGGGGTCTGCTAGATAACATTCTCTTCCATACAAACATGTACATGTTTAAATGTATGTAGGGGTCTGCTAGACAACATTCTCTTCCATACAAAAATGTACATGTTTAAATGTATGTAGGGGTCTGCTAGATATTATTCTCTTCCATACAAACATGTACATGTTTAAATGTATATAGGGGTCTGCTAGACAACATTATCTTCCATACAAACATTTGCATGTTTAAATGTATGTAGGGGTCTGTTAGATAACATTTTCTTCCATACAAACATGTACATGTTTAAATGTATGTAGGGGTCTGCTAGGTAACATTCTCTTCAGCACTTGTACAAATGTGTTCTAATAGTTATATGCATTCGTGTGGCAGGGAGTCCGGTGCGCTAGGATCACGCTTGACTGGAGCTGGTTGGGGAGGATGTGTTGTTTCAATGGTACCTAGAAATAAAGTGGAAACATTTCTACAAAAGGTAAAGGAAAACTTTTATGCAAATGAGCCATCAAGATCTGGTAGAGTGGAGACTGCGGTCTTTATCTCCCAGCCTGGCGGAGGGGCAGCTCTTTACACGTTTTGACCGCAACAGACTGGTCATTGACCATGCAAACATGACAAGCTCACTTATGTTAAAAACATCGCCTCCTCTGGACATTTATTATGGAAAACCTTCAGAGAGCATCATGCTTGTCTCGGACAGAGTGCGCTCCCACACACTGAATACCTCTCCTGGAATCCATTTAGTACGTGAAGTATTCTAAACCATGTGACTATTTCAAACTTATGTACCATTTTATAATGTATTTTCACATTTTGAAGCGCTCGAGTTTCTCGGGTCATATTTACTTTATTATACGAGTTTCTATAGAAATCCTATGGAACTGCAGGGTTGGCAGCATGGATGTGTACTGTGTACTGTGTTATCTTTTTCTTTGTTATACATTTTGTTCTGAGTGGATTTATGTACTATTAAACCATGCCAGTGACGGTATCAGAAGTCAGCCATGTTGTCGTTTCAGTCTTATTTGTGCAAGTCATAAAATTATGACCGTTCATTACCAATCGTGAAGGTGCTGGTCTACTGTAAATGTATATATGTAGTATGCCTCAGACACTAACACTGTCCCAGAAAACGATCTGTCTAATCACGTGTGTATTATTGCCGACACTGATTGTGTAAAAATAATCAGGGCCGTCACAGTTCAGCGCGCGCCGTACGACTGCGATCCTAATGATTGTTTCCAAATTGTAAAGATAATTAGCAAGTGGTGTTATAATAGGTGATACAAGTAAAGGTTATTGCAGGGTTTTCGAGTAACAAGGGATTTATTACACCCGAGCGAAGCGAGGGTGTAATAAGTCCCGAGTGACGAGAAATCATGCAATAACTGGCTTACTGCATGCTTCCCAACTCGAACAAAACAGAAAAATTGAGTAAGAAATGTTCACCTGGACAATCTTTTTACCTACTCTACACTGCAGATAATTTACAAGTACCTGTGAACTAATCAGAACTAGGAAAGTTTGTCTTTATTCTCAATAGCCAAGTCTGAGTGTATCCTTCATAATGGATACAAGTGTTTTTGGATTACTATCCAGCTCCAGTGTCAGGGAAGGTAAGGAGTGTCTGTTCAACAACTAGAACAAAATACGGGAAACAATGTTGAATTTCTGACTACATTTTCAGTTTAATTTTCAAGATGTGGCAAAGGTATACAGGATATTGAAACCATTTTTATACATACAATGTAAGGGTTCATCAATCCCTAGGTAATTCCAGTTCTTTCAAGGAATGGTATATTTGAATGTGCAATTTTGTATAAAGAATCAACTCCTAAAGATTATAAACTTTTCCAGGAAATGCTTATCCTCTCACGTGATAAGGAAATCAATAACGCTGCCAACTCAGTAAGGTGGGGTCAACGCCTATGGAGATTTAACATTAGCATCGGCCCCCGCTTGGAATTTCAAAACAAGATAAATACAAAAAGGTATGGGTATAGGAAGCTTAAATAAGGAACCGTTAGTTTCAGAATTCATTCTAGGAGAAATGGGACCTCCTTGATTACACCTGTGTGGGTGTTAAAGGTGCGGTAACACAATTCCTCCGAGAGCATTTAAATGACATAGTTACCATAACATTATATCATCATCGTGTGCAACATATTCCAACTGTTATTTTGATACCGAATGTTACATTATTTCAAGAAAGAATTTTTCCTTTTTATTGAAGTTTTAAGCAGAAAAGTATGTGAAATTTCATTACTAATGAGAAAATTTCATTTTTTGACACGTTAATTTATATAGTTCTAAAACTGGTCTATTTTTCATACTTTCTTCATAAGTTGGCTACCAATAATATCTTTCAACATCAGGGATTTCAAGAAAATTGACAACCGGTAAATTTGTCATATAACACTTTTGATTCAAAAAAAGAAAAACATAACTTTCTTTCCACTTTTCCTTTAACTTGTGTTTCTTCATGACGAAAGGTCATTGGGTCTTGTAATTTGGCCAGTAGGTGGTTCATGTAAATGAGTTTAAGTGTTGTAAATGTTGATGACCTTGACCTTCGTTCAAGGTCTTAAAATTCAAATGTGCTGAAATAACTTTTTATATGGGGAGTCATTTGTTTAAAGTTAACGATATGAAATAATGTAATATTCCTCCATATTTTGTTTAATGAATGGGCAATAGGCCAAATAAAATAATAACTAGAGCTGTAAGTCAAAGACTAACTGATACCCCCACTACTATATAACCCATAACTGTAAGCTAAAGGCTAACTAAGGCAAAGCANAATAAACCAGTTTTGCTAAAGTCGTCCTAGTAGTTAAAGAAGAGTTGTCAAGACAAAGATTTTTAACAAAGGGCCATAACTTCTTAAAAAGGGTCGAAATGAAGAAAGTACTACCCTGATGCACGTACCCTGATGCACGACATCAGGGGGTAATTACCATATCTGTAAACAATGAGGCAGACAAAGATTATTTTACTACAAAGGGCCATTATTCCTTTCTAAAGATCTGGAATGAAAATTTACTATTTGGATGTACTATGTCAGGGGGCAGTTACCATATCTGTAAACTTTCGTTGAAATTGGCTCCATAGTTTTGGAGGAGTTGTCAGAACAAGTTTTTTCAACAAAGGGTCATTACTCCGTAAAAAAGGGTCACATTGAAAAGAAATAATACATGGATGCACACCATCAGATGGAAGTTATTATATCTGAAAACTTTCGTTGAAATTGACCCCTTAGTTTTGGAGGACATGTCTGGACAAGCATTTTTCATCAAAGGGCCATAACTCTATAAAACAAGGATCAGAATAAAAACATAATACCTGGATGCATAACTTGAGGTGGTTAGTTATCAAATCTGGAAACTTTCGCTGAAATTGGTCCATTACTTTAGAAGGAGTTGTCCGGACATTCTTTTTTCTACGGACAGACAGACAGACAGACAGACAGACAAGCTGATTCCCGTATACCCCCTAACTTTGTTGCAGGGGGTAAACTAAAGTGTATAATAGTTTTACTATTAAGATTATTTGATTATTTTTATATAATTGCATATCGTTGTCTATAACACAATCTCAACCTTAAGTAGTTCTCCAGAAGAAAGATTACTTTGGCAGAATACATATTCATGAGCTATAACTGCTGCTCATCACTTTAAAACATGCGTAATATAACAAAGTGTTTTGGTATGATACAAAAACAGAAAATGTATCGGTTTTTACCATAACTAACATTGATAATCAAATCTCCATGATTATGTGAAATTGGGCATTGATCATGTTTGGCATGCTAATAAAGTACTTAACCGGTTTTTATATTATATAAAAATGATTCAGTAGACAGAATACATATATGGAAAGTTTTTTTAAAAAGTTTAAAATATAGACTACCACTGTGACTATATATAGGCAAGTTGACAACGTTGATTATATTTTAAATTTTGTGAAAATTTTGGATGTTTTTCTAATTAAAAGTATCACTACGCTTACTTCATATATACCAATATGACATCTTTAGTATCAAAATAACAGTAATCTATACACTGTACACTATCATAATTCATTTTCAAAATAACATTCGCCTGTGATATTTATCTACCATTTTGTTAGGGTACCCCCATCACTCAACCAGGTCCACTATGGTTATCAGTAGTAATTATAAATAATCATGTATGCAGTTATTGATCATTTTTATGTATCTACATATGGGAAGAGAATAAAAGAAATCAAAGTGGGGCCAAATGTTAACCCCACTTTTTTAATGTTTGTTTTTCAATTATGAAATTACCATTTTTAACTCTTTTTTTCTTATTCTTATTTTAAATGTGTCAACTTAGTTTATCCTTTCCACTGTTGCGACTTCATCGTTACTTACTTATTGATTATCTCCCCTTTCTTACAGCATTTGTGACCACAGTCCACTGGGCACACCCCCTTTCATGGTCATGTAATCATGATTGGCCATGAAAGGGGATTGTGTGTGCAGGGGACTGTGGTAGCAAGTGATTTATTGCCCACAGTTTTCCATTGTGAGAGGTGGGAAGTGTGCAGTAATTACGGACAGTGGGGTCAGGTTAATTGGTTGACCCATTGGCGTTTAGAAAACACAGTCTGATAAGTGAGTCACACATAGGTGGTCTCGCACACGTACATTTGTCGGCGCCGTAAGCCGATCTGATCACCTTGTTCGATCACCGCATCCAACAAATTTATAGGTTCAGTATATTGTCTTCATTTACCTTTTCCAGTACCGAAGCAAGCATAAATACGTCCGATATGCTTTATTAAGAAAGAAAATATCGCATTTGAAACACCATGTCGAAGTGCGGATTTTCGGCCTTTGTGCTATGTCAGATCACTTCAAACGACGCATCGTATTTGTGTGCTTTCGTTCATATTACGTTTCAGAATTTCAAGTGATTGCGAAAAGTTATTTAGTGTCGCAGTAATTCAGTTTTAAGAACAGCAAACCATTCAGAATATCATCGACGGTCGCTTATATTTGGTGCAAATCGGGCTAAGTTAGGCGACGCGATGTGCTCCCGTTTAATTTAAAAGGGTTGGTCAATACCGTTATAAATTCGTCTCTTTCCATTCAAGCGTGTTCTACTGCAATTTAAATTTGAAAGTTGTGATCTTTTTATTTTTTGTTATTTCTTTAATTAATTACGGCGACTTTAAACTTTTTTTTACAACTTCTGTGTGAAGGAATGAGATCAAGTCTTATTTTCTCGTTTGAAACGAATTCAAAAAGTTGTGTTGCAAATTTTCAGCATTTTAATTTTGTAAGTATTTTCTTTTATAAGTTATATCCAATCATCTGATAGTATTTTGAAAAATTATCACTTTATGGACTTAATTACAAACATAATGTATGGTATTTTTTTAATTCAGCAGAGTACAATGTACATTATGTTGAATAGTATTGCGTTTCAAATTGTGCTACTAATTTTGAACTATTTTAATAGAGGTCCGATCTTGGGCCGAGGAAGTATCGCATTATGTTGTGCTCTGTTACTAATACGGACCACTGACTGTTAATAATAAATACCTATAATGTGTAAAGGAGAAACACCGAAAACTGTGGAATAGTCAAGCTAATGGACAACTTTTGAATGTTTCACAGACACATTGGTGTTTCTATTGCAACAAAGTTAGTTGAGTTTTGACTGTGAAATATGGAGGATCCAGGAAGTGACAATGAAGTTTTCTCACACAAACTAAATCAACCATTAACTTCGACCTGAAAAGTGATCAATTTCCTGACAATTCATCATGTTTCAATAGTACTGATAAAATATCTTGTGATGTACATGTTTGATAGAGAAAACATTGCACTCTTTTTTTTTGATGGTCATAATCTATAAACCATTCATGGATATTATCAAACATTTTCCAATAACGATGAGAAGCCCTATGTCCGGTAAGCTAAACGTGTCATCTTGACACGTGTTACAAAAGCGGCACAGAATCATTCAA